TCACCATGAGATCATATCACCTTTATGCGTGATGAAGTTGGTAGTTGTTCATATCAATCTCTCATTCCCATAGATATTAGAGTTAAAAGGAAAGGGATAGGAAACCACCGTTCCGGCAGGAAATGCTCTTCGCCTGTACCGCATTAACTCGAATCACTTTTAACGAATAATCAGTGTAAAGAAAATTTGAAAAGAAGTTATTGACAGGTTGACAGGTCCATGACAGGCCTTCTCTGAATATTAGAAGACAAACTATCCCTCATACAATGTAGTATTTCCAGCAGTGTTGTTCTACAAGTAGCCCTTTCCTGCTTTTCAGAAAAATGACTACCAAAAAGATTGTTAAAGTCATTGGAAACAGCCTTACATCAAGAAAATGAATAAATAGTTTTAACTTATTGCTGTGTTGTAATGTAGATGTGAAAATACCTCTGTTACCTCCATAGTGGCAATATATATTTGTGTAAAAAAATTCCCAGGCCAAATTATTTGCTGCTTTTTAGTTAAGGGTACAAAACAAAAATAATTTTGGAGTCAACATATGCCTCTGGTCTTTCAGTGATAAGCTATATCACTTATAAAAGGGTCTAGTTACATGTACCTTGTTTCTCAAGTTATTCTAATGAATATAAACTTAAGTTAAAGAGTGCAGTTGAAATCTCAGAGAAAAAGGTACAAAACAAAATTGACAGTAACAACATCTGCACTTAGCACTTGTGAACGTCATTTTCGATGGGCCAATTTGCAGTATGGTTCATACAAAGGTATCAAGGGAAAGATAAGGTCTTGAACTCTGCAAATGAGCTATAATAAAGAAAGTTTTAAAATCAAGTGTGCTTTTACTGATGACAATCTGCTACAATGCACCTCCATTTTGTGGTCAAAATATTTTGCGCCATTGACGTACCAGATTGGTTGCTAGGATATGCATCATATGCCTGTAATAATTTTCGTGGTTTCCTATCCCTTTCCTTTTAACTCTAATTTCTATGCCTTTCCATATGGCTTAGTGACTCTACCCACTTGTACCACCAGTTAGTGTGTCTGGTTGCACCTGTAATATAATGATTAATTTTAATTTAAAAATATTAAATATTATTGTTATTGTATTGACATGTTGAATAACATACCCAATCTTTGTCCTTCCCATCATGAGCATTCATTCATGTTTCATCAATGTAGATGACTGGCCTGTTCTCTTCACTACAGTTGTTATACATCCTAATTAAATATTCTTCTTGTTGTTTGATTATGTGAGGCTGCTCCTAGTACATCGCTTTATGAACAACTTTCCCAAACCTATTGTTCTGCTCAATAATAAGTAGTGGAGAGATGGGTTCTGTTGCAGTTTAGGTCCTACCAAATTAATTAATTGAAATAAATCGTTTGAGTTGTTCATAGCTTGATCCTCTACCTCTCATCATTCACTTTACTTGTGACCATGTTCCTTCTACTAATTGAGTATGATCTCCGGATGAAGGATCAATAGAATTAAGTGAATGGTTAACTGTTAGGTAAATAAATATACTACTTGAAAGAGAAGATTATGCAAGCCATTGATCACTAATAGTTGTAGAGCCTGGCCTTACGTACTTATATATTATTGGTAGTAAGGTTCATGCAGATCTATCTGCTACTTCTACCATGAAGCAATTATTAGTTCCATGTTTGATACCACCAAATACCCAATGTCCATTGACATATATCTCCCTCTGTTATATTTTCTCTTACCAAATTTAGATTTGTCTATTTCAATTATTGAACCTGATCCACCAATGACTGTTGGATGACTCAGGAAGTAATCTGCACATATATCTCTATGGAAGTTAAACCAGTCAACTATAGTGTGCTCTGAATGTTCAGTTTTGTGCATGTTGCTTGAATTGTGCCCTTATGTGACCACCAATACATCAAATATACAATTTCATTTAATTTTATATGGCTTCTAGAGAAGAACGAGTCATTTCTTATAGATACAACTGCTTGACATCCTTTTAAAGGACACTTCCATACTTTTGACTCCTTTTTTGTCACTATTCTGCAGGATGCTTTACATTTCTTGCACTACATAGTGTTGGCTAAAAGATGCTTGTTCCTAAGCCTAATGTAATTATATCTTCATCATAGCTAGGTTACAGAGGAATAAAGACTCTTATAATTGATTATTAATATTTGTCTTATTACAATTTAAAAATATAGCAACAATATTATATCACATTAGCAATGATCGAAAAAAATTATTATTATTGCGGAAGTGATGTCAGTTAATTAATTTGGTAGGGCCTAAACTGCAAAATAGCCAAGGATAATCTTGATTCTTTATAAATGCCATCAGCCTTTAGCTTAGGAAGGAAACTGTTGAAGGTAATAATATACTGCCTCCTTGACTATATAGCAGCTCAATCACAGCTGTCAACATTTAAAACAACCTGGTCATCTTCACTGTTCATGTATCTTGGAAGGTCAGGTGCTTTTATTTCAGCTCCCTCAGGCAACTCCTTTTCGTCCATCACAATTTTCATTACTGAATTTTTAAAATCCAGTGATTTTAACTGTTTTCTAAAAAATAGTCCCTTCTCCAGTTTTGGACTTTGCTTCTTCTCTTTAAAGTGGCTAGGTAATGATTTTATAAATAATTAGTTATATTTTCTAATAAAGTTTTGTGAAATTTTTTTCCAGAGCAATTCTTTTACCTTTGGAATGATCCAGGAAAGTTGACTTTAAAAACTTGACAAACAGACTAGCAAACAGCTGCAATGAACAAAAATAACAAAAACAAAAAACTGACTTTAAGAATGAACTTGACATTTTTTGTAGAAGATTGAACAAGCTTAATAAATTCCCTTGAAAGGTGATGATCAGCAGCTATGAGAATTCAGATAAAGAAGGAACCAGGGGCGGATCTAGGGGTGGGCCAGGGTGGGCCAGGCCCACCCAAAAATTTTGTGCAGTAATTTAAAATCTACTTTTTCATGTGGATGACTATGTTAACTGTGAGGCATGACTATGTAAACAATTTGTAAACCACAAAGGAGCTCATTTTAACAGCTTTAATCTTCAAAATTTTGACTTTGAATGCGGGCCTTGTTGACCACACCCACTAATTACCACACCCAAATCATCAAGGCCCACCCAAAAATCCAATCCTAGATCCGCCCCTGGAAGGAACAGAATATTGAAGAGCAAATCAACTATGCTGTTTTTGGAGTAACACCATGCAACTGCACATTATTAACCTAAATATCATTATCACTGTCATATTATAAACGTAATATGATGTATGTTGCTAGCATCATACATGTTTTAAATTTCATGCAGCGGCTTTCACTTTTGGTCCAAGCTCAGGTGGGACAATATGTACCATATAGCCAGAAATTACATCAAAATTGCCTAAATATAATATAGGTAGTCTCTTGATTTGGTGATTAACTATCTTATCTTTTCTTGCACTGTCAGCTTTTCTTGAAGCTGCTCCTTGCCCACATCTTGACTGAATACTTCAAAAGTGGACCATTTCAGCATTTTTTTTAGTATCACTTGCTCATGATGGAATCTGCTCATTGCAATTACAGTACAAGATGATTTATTCGCAGGAGTAATATTTGGCAGATTTGCCTGTGGAATGAAATTGGTGGGTTTTATATTGGTGATTTTGTGCCACGTTCTATTGAGCATGCTCAGATTGAAACAAAATGGCAGATTTTATATTGGCAATTTCTTCGTATAACCGCCAATCGCCAATAAATCATCTTGTACGGTATTATAATATTGGCAGTTTTATTTTGAACTGTTAATTCTCTCAGCTGTACTGTATGTGAATATAATTATTATGAGGGGAATGTTATTGTTATTTGCAGTATGCTATACAGAAATAACTTTACAGGCCCATTTTTGTCATTGGATTATCTATCCAATGGCTGCACATGTGGCAATGTCTGTACAAATCATTGTACTGTAGGCTGATGTTTGACAATAGTCATAACTCGTAAATTGAGTTAGTGAAAGGCCTATTACAATTCAGTAGAGAGCTTACCTTGCATTTTTTCAGGATGATTTAAGTATCCTGTATTGCTTTTTGCTTCAACAAATGCAAATACTGTATAGGGGTTATATTTTGCTGAAAATAAATTCTACTAATTTTGTGTTTTTATTAAATTTATGAAAATAAATTCTACAAAAAAAGATGTGGCACACTAGGAAAAATAAGCTGCAGAAGGTAAGATACCAGCAAAAGAAAACTTATTGATGGTAGTCTGATCAAGAAATCTCCTTCTGGTGTTGATGGTTTGTAACTGCTCCTTACAATGGACGCAAGATGAGCTTCACTTGCTTATTGGCTCTACTTTCATATTTGTTGCACTAGTGTTTAGCCAACCAAATCTCTAAATGCTTATTTTTTGTGGTTTCTTCAGCTTTGACTGATGTTGCCAAGGGCAAATCTAGGATTGAGTTTTTGGGGGGCCTTAATGATGTGGGTGGGGTGTGGTCTACCATCAATCAGGCTTGCAGGATTTCAATTGGGACTGCAAAATTTTGAAGATTAGGCTTCTTAAATGAGCTTCTTTGTGGTTTAGAGATTGTTTACACAGGCAAGTACTGCAGCTGTTTCACAATTTACATAGATAAAACTCATTTTATACTTCACGAAAAAAATTTTGGGGGCCTGGCTCTCTAGCCATAGGCGGTTCCAGGATTGTGGAAGCAGGTGGGCAAGGAAGAGAATAAAATGGCGCGCGAAGCGCGCCGCAATTTTGACCACGCCCACTTTTTCTCGCTGCGCGGAACTACATTTTCCCGTAATATTAGGGGCCTTGCAATATTTAATTTTTCAACCATTGTCATCCTCTGTGCATGTGCCGTGAGTGTGACTTCGTGATTGACTATGAGACTTTAGTCTCGCTAGCCAGACCATTCCCCAGCCTACAGCCATTTCCGTCCACCCCAATGACTGTAGGCTGGGGAATGGTCTGGCTAGCGAGACTAATCAGACTCAGCATCACTAGAAGTAAAAGTATCACAAGGAAGATCATAATCATTAGTCTCTAACTCTGTGAAATCAACTGACACTAGATCTGGCTCATCTATAGAAATTTCAGGTAGTAAATTTTGTGTGCAGCTGCCATTAACACAACTGATGATTTATGACAAGCAGTACTTGCTTATTTATAGATCTATACATGTTAGCTATTAATCTTACTTCTTTCATCATCATTGGTATTTCTTTTTTTTGGTTCAGGAGGCAAGAAAGAAAGGAGAGATGCTTGACGCTTGGTTGCCATTGCAAGAAATGATTACAAAATTAACATTCAAAATATTCATGAAAAGTTTATTTTAATAACAATAATAATTAATTTTAATGATTATGATGACTTCCTTTTCCTGTCAAAATTTCAGGGTGGGCATTGCCCCTTAATGCCCACCCCTGGAACCGCCTATGTCTCTAGCCCCCCCTAGATCTGCCCCTGAATACATCTAATTATTACAGTGAAACTTTGACTTCGTTAATGAACCAGGTGGTCAAACACAGGGAAAGAAAATCATCAATTTGAGCATTCTTCTAGTAATTTTTTAAATTATAAGCAACACAATGAAGAAACAAAAAAGCACCATTACATGTAATTTATCAGTATTTGAACTGCTCTTTGCACCTGCTACATAAGGATCGTTGTAACCAAATAACAATGCTCTTATTTCGTTAAGAGCCTGGTAAATAATGATCGTTGTAATGACCCAGTCGATCCAAATGTGGTAGTACCTGTGATTGTGGTACTAGTTCTCACGGCTATCACCCTTGTCGTCCTGATCATCTGTAGAATTAGATGTGAAAAAGGAGGAAGACTGAAGTTATGAATTACAGGCAATGAAAAAGGAGAAACCAATGAAAAACTGCTGTAGATGTGAAAAGAAAAACTGAGGAGCTTTTAACGGCTGGGTCTGGAATGCGTGAGAGATTCCTCACTCCTCACTAGTTGTACTATTATGATGGATTTAAAGCTACACGAGCACCCAAGAGGGGATCTAGGATTGAATTTTCTGGGAGGGGGGGCTTAATGATAGGAGTGGGGTAATTAGTAGGTGAGGTCAACCAGGCTTGCAGAATTTTACTTGGGAAGTCACAATTAGGCCTCTTTGATGAGCTTCTTTGTGGTTTAGAGTTTGTTTATACAGTCAAGTACTGCAGCTGTTTCAAGTTTACATACATGTAGATAGAACTAATTTTATACTTCACCAAAAACATTTTGGGGGCCTGCCCCCCAGGCCCCATTATTGCTATGACCAAGCCTGACTGCTCATCATTGCCAGCCTCATCATCATCTGACTGTGACTCAACAAAACCTAACCATAGCATCCAAGATAATATCTACAGAAGCGGAAAAGGTACTGGTACTTTCTAAGCAATAATGCTAGGTTCATGCGTTATTATAATAGGAAAGCAATATCTCTTCTTGTCAGGATAAGAAAGTAAAGATGTGGGTACATTATACTGCGGACAGTATTCTTTAACTTTGTAAGCATGTGCCTCAGCTTTTTCTATCATAAGTCTAGTGCCATGCAAAAATGATGGTTTAGTGCAGGAATTGGTTTTTCAAAACTAAATATGTAGCTATATTTTGTTCCTTCAACACATATGAATTGGCATCAGGCATCATGATTCTTATTAATCAGCTGTGTTAAAGTAGAAGCATTGCTCTTTTCATGGAGATCAGACATTTTGGACTGTCTGTCCCAAAGAGAAGCAGCGACTCTAGTTGATCTAGGAAGTTTGTAGCAAAGAATGTGCTTTGCCTTTAGCCTGCTACTTTCAGAAGTTGGCCTCATTTTAATAATACTCTTTGTGAAGGAGCTGGTGATCTAGGTGCACACAGATGTTTACTTGTTAAAGATCCTTAAATTTCACTAATTGAAATGGGAGATGCATTACACTTTTAAGTTCTCCATAGTTTTCACAAGTGACTGCTGTGATGTTTACTCCCTTCACTGTGCTATCAGCTACTAACACGCAGTATTGGCACAACAGTTGACTAGTCTCGCAAGCCAGACCCTTCCCGCCTACAGTCATTTGGGTGGACGGCTGGGAAGGGTCTGGTACATTGAGTCACCTAGTTTTGTTCTTGCGGCAGAAATCTGCCGTGACCAATCAGATTCGGTTATCCTTGACACGTGACCACAAGTCACATAAAAAATTGATTATCAAAATGGTGACTTTCCAAGAGCTGTGGAGAAAGTGCTGAAGAACAAGCTATAGAGTGGTAGTATCAAACGTCTCTTTGATTCTGAAGGACCATCTTAGTGAAGTATATCTAGGTAATATATTACAAGTTGGTCTGGTTGCCATAAAACATGCAGCTCGCTTAAATTTTATTGCTGTTTCATATCAATAGTATTTTTGTTGTTAAACTGCACTTCTCCCTTCCTCCTTCTCTTTTTACTGTTTTTATTGTATTGTATGATTATTATGAAACATTTTAAATAAATAAAACTTAAAAATAAGAATTATATGGCAAATTTGTGATACATTGACTGTATTTACACACTTCTTGCTACAAATATCACATCACTTGAAGCACTATGAAGCAATGAACTATCATTGACCTTTGGAAATAATAGACTAGTGTAATATACCTGTATTGGGACTTACATTGTTGATGCACTCCAGCATATAGACTTTACTGCTTTATAGCTGACCTTTGACTGTGTAAGTTTGGCAAAGGAATATTAATGTTCCAATTCTTTCTTTCTTCCCCTTCCAGCCTCCAGAATGCAATTTCTAAGTCAATTGGGTTTGTTTAAGTTGGATAAATGTTGTTGCTGCATTATACACATGGAAACACGTGTGTTGAGCGCAGTCTTTTACATGTGACATTTTCATGACATCACTAACCACGTGGTTGCTGTCAGAACAAAACTACATCATACAATGTACCAGACCCTTCCCTGCCGTCCACCCAAATGACTGTAGGCTGGGGAATGGTCTGGCTAGCAAGACTAACAGTTGACAGTATTATAATTAGTTATACTAAAAGTTAAAAAAGAAGGAAGAAGAGAGGGAGAATGTCCAGGACAATCAATACATGAGGGAGAGAGCACTAGAGAGAACTGAACAATAGAATAGATAACCAAGAACAAAAGAACTCTCTAACGTTCTAAATATAGTAACAGAACACATGTTCACCACTCATACTCATAACTAATCATAACTAACATAATCACTAATAACCAATGATAACAATAGTAATAATAGTAATAATATCTCTCAATTCTCAGTATTAATAACAATAATAACGATAATAATAATAATAACAACTACAACAATAACAACTACAACAATAACAACAATAATAACACTAACAATAATAATTATAACAATAATAATTCATGTATACAGTCACTACAACTGCAATGTAAAGTAGGTTTAATTTCTTGTGTTGGAATAATTATGGTTTGTCAGACCACTCTTGGTCAGCAGTTGCATTTGCCATTACTTTAAAATAATGCATAAGAGGGTAGGACCCTATTGTAAAGCTTTGGTTGATGCGAGGCCCGGTTAAGATTAATGGTCCAGGGACACGAGGGCACAGTCTGCCTTAATTTTTTATGGCTAAATACAGGGAATTTTTTATAGCTTGGAAACGTGGTAATAATTCAATTAAAGTCAGGATTGGCTCAAACTTTATACAAAAATAAGGACATTAAAAGAAAGGGTGCTTTTAGAGCCAATTTTCAAATAAAATCACGGTCTATGTATATGTAGTATGGGTATATTTGGAAATTTGGAGTTTTTTTAAAAAACAGCCATAACTCAAAAAATTGAAGTCGTAATTAGCTCAAACTTTCTACATAGCATAATGATATCAATATGTATCTGAAAATGTAATAAAATTTGGGCATGATTTCGGAGCTATTTTTTGGAAAAAAGCTTTTTTAAAAATTGGAATTGGCTTAAACTTTTACATGACATTCTCCTGCCACTGTCATTGTGCTAATAATGTAGTTTATCAGTTATTAATTGTTATTCCTTAAAAATCTGTGAAGAAGAAACATTATCTTGCCATTAAGTAAAATGAGGCGATAGAAGGCTGCTAGATTTGTACAAGCAACTGGCAGTGAGGCTGATGCAGCAGCAAAAATTTCATTGCCAAGAGAATGCAATGTTTAAACGACTGGGCACTGAAAAAAGCCTTCAATAATTGGATTGATTTGAGAAATACCAACGCTAAGGATGGAAATGAAGTACTAAAGGATCTGATCCTGAAATTATTTTTAAATTACTAACATTGCGCTGTGTCAAAGATGATTGATAGTCAACATGGTTTATTTTGGAGAGAAAATTATTTAAGCCCCATGTAGCTACCAGCTTGACGATGATGATAAGTTTCATGCAGACAAGAAAAGTGACAATGATAATACACCACCATGTCTCAAAGAATGCAAGTACCCTGTTTTCTCAGCAGCTACGAAACTGTTTATACAGCTCTTTAAAAAGCTTGTTATAAAATTTATTCTTTATCATTATGATCATTCATTTAACCGTTTACCAACCTTAGACTGCAGCCTCAAGCTAAAGTAAAGGATTAAAGGGGATGCCGCTCCTGCTCATGAGAAGGGAGTGGCTTTAACTAACTATTAATAACATAGACATTAGAGTAAATGAAAGGGATCGCAAATGGGCATCTTATTATATATCGCTAGGAGACGAATGCGGGTTGACATTTGCATCTAGCAACGTGGGCTGTCTTGGAGCAAAAACTGTCCTTTTGACACCTGTCATTCCAGCAGTGGTATCAGTATACGCCATTTTTTATATCAAAGGAAGCAGAGGAGACATGAATCTATCCCCAGACAATTTTATATGTAGCTGGCATCATCATTTGCACTGATTATTTGCTCTGACATGTGAATGGTTTTAACAACATTTTGTTTTGTACCCTTATCTCAAGAGTGATAGACAGATGATAGTAAATGATTTAATCATTGTTTAGAGTACCAAAATGTGGAGGTCGCCCACTATAGTTTGTTTGGAAAAATGATTATGTCTTTCTGTAATGATCAATTTACTGATAAGTTTAACATAAAAACCAAAGGGTCTGTGACATTAGCTATCACACCATTGTAATAAGTTACAACACACTGGAGGTCGCCGACACCGTTTCTATTCAATAGGTTGTACGAAACAAAATATAGAATTAAATATAGTAAGTGTGATCAATAATGATTGCTAATTCATAAAACACCGAATTTAACTGCAAACAGATACATTGCTACAGCAGACAACCTGGGCAAATAGGAAGAATGTTTCTCAACATTATTGAAGGGTTACCTGTACAAAATAAGACTTTATGCAACAAAAAACTACCTAAAAAGTATGTTTACCTGCTTCAACTTTCAGCCATTTTAAATTTTACATACGAGTAATTAGAGACGTTTTTTACGGTACTATCAACTCGCATTTTCCTGTTGCTATGCCCTGTTTCCAATTCCTTTCATTTACTCTAATATTTATGTTAATAATAGTTAAGAAATCATTTTCAGTAAA